GCCTTGGCCGTACAGCAGCTGGCTGCAAATATTATTTTTTGCAGTTGGTATTCTCAGTTAAGAATTACAGCTATTTTTCATAGTAGTTTTTAATTTTGCCCCTCCTTTTTAGTCTGTCCTGTGATATAGGGAAGATATGGAATTTATTGTAGGCAATAAAAATCAGAGGACCTATTTAATAGGAAAACAAAAAGGAGGAAAATCTTACATGATTTTTGAAATATTGTAATCGTTCCTTGTATGCTCTTCTTGCTAACCACATTTTGACCCATGACTGAATCTGAAAGCCGAAGAAGAATGAAAAGATATTTTACATGATCAATATTTAAACATCCTTTTTTTAGCATATTCTTAGTTTTTATTAACGTTATTTTTAGTTAGTTTGAATAGATTTTAATACACATGTATGTCACATCTCAAATTAAAAAGTGAACAAGAAATAGCATCATTGCCCTCAAGCCTGTGCAAATTCTCCTCTTTCAGCCTGTAATCCCAAATACGTTTGGCTTCAAATCTCAAATGAGATTTTCACAGTTCTGTTTGCACAATTATACATATTCCCAATGAAAAGCAGTCAGATGGCTGATATCTAGTTCTTAAAAGTAACTCTAACAGGCATAATTAAACACGTTCTTGTCCAACTTGCCCAATTTTTGACATTTCATCAGTGACTTCATCCCACATGTTTCATTGGGCAACTTCAAAGGTGTTACAAGCTGCAGAATACCTGTCACATTTACAACAGAATTTTTTAAAAAGCAGCTGAAGCAAATCAGATATAAGCAATTAAAATGTAGGAATTCAGAGAGATTATTATGCCATAGCCACTAGGTAATAGCAAGAATACATCATCCTGAAGTTAGCTTTGCAACTCATCATGTACAAGATACATTTACCTTGATAACAGAGGCAACATTTCTTTGCAACATTTGAAGTCTTTCCGAGTAATTTTTCTTTTGTTTATACCCTTTCCAAAATGCCTATTTAAAACACAAGAAGTATTAGCAAAATGGCCAGTTCTAAATTAATTCTAAACCCTCTCTAAGCATAGCCAACTTGCCACATCCCTCACTTTTTGCTCTTTGACTCGCAAACTTCAGAATGGACAGATTTTTCTTCTTCTTCAGATAAAAAAAAAAAAAATTATATTGTGCTCTTAGAAGAGATACAGAAATGTACCTCTATTAAAACGTGAGAGGAAACATGCTTTCCAACAGTCATTTATAGTAAGCTTTATTATCAGTTTGCAACTACATCATTCCAAATGGATGGGTACTAACAAAAATCTTATGAAATTGGGCACTAAAACATACGCTGTAATGATTGTTCTTCAGCTGCCAAACAATGTACAGCATAGAATATATACCACATTGCAAGAGTAGTAAAGATCTGTTTTTGGTCAGGCAAGACTGACCAAAGATAAAGACTGCCCATTGAAAATGTTTGTCAGTTACGCCTGGTAAAACCAGTTTCCCTTCACAGTATATACTCTGTCCCTGATGTAATTATTAAAAGCAGAACTTTTAATAATTAATTGCAGCCATTAATTGCACATTTACATTTACAAGAAAACCTTATCTGTACTAATGAGAAGTTGGGGTGCTGGGAAACATAAAGAGGGAACACAGGTGCTAGGCAGAGGCATGTGCAGTATTTGTTAATACTCCATTAGATTATTATCCATCCAATACCAGAAACATACTACCTGTATTTTTATCCCTGATGGCTCCTGGGCTTGGAGGTATGCTTTTCTCTCTTTATATCTTTTCCTGACTAAAAATCCCCTTGCTCTAGCTTGCAGCTGAATGATCAGGTCCTCATTTGCAAACCAAAGCTGTTCTCTGTTATAATTTGATGTGATCTGGTTGACTATACCCTACAAGAAAAAGATAAATGTAAGGAGACAGCCAAAACGTAAGTAACCCAGCAAAGCCCATATTGTTTCAGCACTTAACTACACTTCACTTTCCACCCAGCCTGACCTAATCTTTTCCTCATTTAGTTTCAAAACTTGTTCAAAAGGTCACATGTGACTGATCTTTCAAAACTGCATTGATCATGTGGACTAAATGAGGATGTTTATACTACAGACACTTATGTTAAGGATATTGCCATTAGAAATACAGTGGTATCTCGGGTTACGAACGCCTCTGTTAACGAACTTTTCCGGTTATGACCAGCTCCGGCTGCAAAAATTTACCTCGGTTTGCGAACTCCGCCTCAGGGTACGAGCAGGGTACGTGGCCATTTTCCCTCCCGTGACATGGTCCGCGGCCATTTTTCCGCCCCTGACACGTGGTCCGCGGCCATTTTCCGCCCCTGACATGTGGTCGTAGGGAGGGGGACTCCCCCTCAAAGCAATAGCCACCTCCCTGTCCTCCACGCCAGAACGGATTAACGGTAATTTACAATGAACCTTATGGGGAAATTTTCTTCGGGTTGCGACCAATTCAGGTTGTGGCCAGAGTCATGGAACGAATTAAGTTCGTAAACCGAGGTTCCACTGTATGGCCGGCAATTCCATACTTTACAAGTGCAAGATGCTTGAGTTCCTTTTCTTTGCAGCTTGGGGGAGGGAAGCTTAATTATAACTCTGGTTCTTCTAGTGATCTGCATGTTTACACCATTAGGTTTTTTGCCTACATAGAGGCTTGTTCATGGAGTTCTAGAACTTATTTTCTTGATCAAATGCCTTGATTTCTGCTATGAACTTGCATGAAGCACTAAGTCAAGCATACTAATATGCCATGCTAGAAGTCTTAGGCATCTTATAAAAAAGCCCATGGCACAAACTTTACAACAGAAGGATGATAAACTAGGATGAATAAAACCATCACTGGGTCTCCAGTACGTAGTCAGCAGTATCCCATATCATCTTGGCAATTACTCTGGGGTACAAAGAGGTGGGAAGAAAGCATCAAGCAGTATCTCTATCCACAAATATAAATGTCTCACAGAGACCCATCACATCAAAGTGGCAAAACTGAGCCAGATGTTTGTGTGCATCTCCCTTGTGCAAACTGAAGGAGTGTTAAGAAGAAAGAATGTTTACAAGTAGTGCTTCCTTGATTATATTCTAAATTCTACTGGACACTGACATGCCACTAACTTCAAATTAAAAAGCAGTATACTATGAAGGAGCCATATAACAATTAGCTGCACCTAACAATGCACCTGCACCTAGGTCTTGGACCTAAAAATTAACTTTAAAATATTTAAAATACAAATTTGTGATCTGAACCATGGCAATATTTGTAGTCTATTTTTGAGCTTCTCCTTTGGAATAGTTCTCAAAATAAGCATTTGTGAATATTAAATAGGAACTGTTAAATAAGTAGAGGTTGTTTTTTCATTTTGATCTTCAGAACCTACAGTAACTGTTTTGACTGACTGATTAGATTTATATTCTGCTTTTTATTCCAAAGCTCAAGGTGATGTACGTAGCACTCCCTCCTCCTCTTTTTCCCTACACCAACAATCCTGTGGTAGTGTATTGTCGAAGGCTTTCACGGCCGGCATACAATGGCTGGTGTGGGTCTTCCGGGCTGTGTGGCCATTCTGGAAGTTTTGTTTCCTAAAATTTTTCAGGATTGGGATCCCCTCACTGCCGCAGGAGTATACCACATACCATGCAGTTGCGGGCAAGTATACATCGGGACCAAAAAACGCAGCATCCATACCAGGATAAAAGAACACGAAAGACACTGCAGA